ATTTCTGGTTGCTTTCTGAAGTCTGGATTTTTTAAGGATGGGCATGCCTCCCGAAGTTTTTTTTTTTTTTTTTTGCTCCTATTCACTTTTTTTTAAAAAAACCTGCTAAAGAGCATGAAAAAACCAAGCAAAAAATGAGCCCTGCCCTTTCTGGTGATATCAACACAATGCTGGAAGCTCTTCTGTGGTCCTCCAGCTCATCTGAGGAATCAGTGGTGGCCCTGGTACAGGGGAAGTTGCCCACTCTGGCTTAGAGAAGGCCAAAAATTTCTCTTGCTGTTCTTCCAGTATAAACCTTTTCATCCCAAAGCAATGTTGTGATATGTCTTTCTATCCTGAAAAGGCATTTGGGTTTTCTGGTATTTTCCAGGGCATGAAGGAAAGATTGGGATGGCAGCAATACAACTAAAGGAGGGAGAGTCCTTTGATGGAAAGCAGTTATATGCCCACACCAAGAATTACCTGCCAAACTATGCCATACCTCACTTTGTCCGCATCCGGGTGAGACTCCTTTCTGTTTCCTTGTTGCTTTACTGTGCTCTTGCCTAAATAAGGCCTGAGCAAGACAAGTTGATATAATGTGAATAAACTTTGGTGGGTTTGTTAAGAATTATAAATAGCACACTGTGCTTGGATAGATAGAAGTCATGAGTGAAAGGAGTTTTTGATCCTGCTATGGCCTTCATGGAATCAACCTTCTGGGTTGTCCTAATACAGTGTTTCTCAAATTTGGTGAGTTTAATATGGCTGGCTGGGGAATTCTGGGAGTTGAAGTCCACACATCTTAAAGTTCCCAAGTTTGAGAAATACTGGCCTAATATCTTCTTGGTTGGGGCAAAAAACAAGAGAGTGTCCCTTCCCATTCCAACAAGATAGAAGCTGATTTTTTTCTTAGCAACAGGACATCTTCCTGATGGTAGCAGGCTAATTTAGGGGCTTTGGATCAGGCCATGTGGCACATTACTGTTTTCTCCAGCAACTTCTTGCCACTTCCCACCTTCTGCCAACTAAGGCAACCTCTTGCTGTGCCTCTTTATAAAACTGATCCTTCTAGTTCTTCATCAAGGTGGGTGATGAAACTCAAGAACTTATCCCACCATTGAAACAAAAATTGCCTAACACTGAGCGAGGCAAACTATACATAATGTAGGAGACCTATAATCAAAGCAGCCATTGTAGGAAGGAGAATTTCTAATCTAAATCACCTTTCCAAGCTGCTGTTGGACCCCAATTGGAGAATAATGCCAGTGCTTGTGTTGTACTTATGGAGTTTTTTGATGATGATGATGATGATGATGATGATGATGATGATGATGATGATATGCTTGCAGCCTGCGCTCTAGTAAAGTGAACTTGTTCCATCTCATACAATATATATGAGTGCTATTTACCAATCTGGCGCAAATGAAAATTGCCACCTCATCCATTCCACCCTGCACCCCCCATCTTACTGTTGTGCATTCTGGAGAAACTGCAGCATGTACTTGAGAGTAATGGCTTCTTCTCCCAATGCTTGCAATCCTGCCATGTCTGGTGTGCTCTAGCAGTGCAGTGGAACGATGGGCTGATTTGCTGCTCTTCATTGCAGGAGACCCTAGAGATCACGGGGACCTTCAAGCTGTGCAAAAATCAGCTGGTGAGGGAAGAATTTGACCCTATCACCATCAGAGAACCCCTCTTTTTCCTGGACAACTCAGAAAAGAGCTACGTGCCACTGACTCCAGAGATCTACTGTTCCATCACAGAGAAGAAGCTGAAGCTCTAAAAAGAACTTCAAGAGATATCTTGCCATCATCTCTTGGTGGCATTGCAACCCAGGAACATAACAGCTTGATGCTTCTTGATTTGGAACTTGATTTGACTTGACTCGAGTCAAGGAGTGGAGCAATTACCTCAGATTTTTTTTTTAATTTGCCAGCCTGGGATATGTACGTAGCTTGCATACCAAGTTTGGGGACCTTTAGAAAAGTTAATTTCATTTTACTTCTTTTGCTTTCCCTTATAAAGAGCCCTTTTGTGCCCCCATGAGCTGTTTGCTCTGCAGTGGATGGATAACTATACAAGGAATGGGTGTATGCATTATAGGGTGTGTGAAACAGGCATCCTCTGCCTCAAAAGTGTGTCAGACAATGTGTTCCATTTGAGTGCTTCACTATGCCCAGCAAAGGCCATGCACTCTGCCTGTGAAGGGTAGCTGAAACCGCTGGCTTCACCTTAAAGGAAGATTCATGCACCTTCAATATGAAAGGACAACATAGACCTCCTGCTCCATTTGCTGCTTGTAATACACATGCATGCAAATATTAGTACCTATACAGGTGTTGAAAGTCTAATAGAGCCAAAGGCCAGGTGGGGAGCCTGGAATCTATTTTTAGAAACCAGAATTGATGTGATGTTTCTCATGGTCGGTTTTAAAAATTATTACAAGGAATCATGTCATGTCAGTTACAAACCTATATGTATATATGTTATCATTTAAATTCAGATAAACAGCTTCCAGCCTCAGAAAACATGCTTTGATTATTATTGCTTGAATCTCTAGTTCGTTGTACATGGAGGAAATACAGTATATTCTTTTAGCTTACCTATAGCCAGAGAATGCCATAAGTAGGCTAACAGAACCCCTGCATTTAGTAAGGCCTGTGAGCTCAGCCTCAGAATCTGATTCAAAAGCGCAGGTCCAGTGTGGCCAGACAGAGAACAAGAAGAGATGGCCCTGAAAAGCATGCTTACTTTCACAATAAGTAGCTGTGGCTACCGGGAAAAATATTACCATTTAAAGAAGTGCTTCCCGACTGTGTAGCCTCCTGATGTGTGGATCTCAGCTTCCAGAATTCCCCAGCCAGCATGGCATTGCTGAGAATCCTGGGAATTGAAGTCCACACATCTGAAAGTTACCATGATTGGAAACATTGACCTAAAAAAACTAGTTGTAAGCTCCATCTGCAGTTTTACATGCTGTTTCCACTTTCCAATCTCTAAAAAACGGTTCAAAGTTCTGGCGTGATATTCTTAATTTCTGCCAGAAACATTGAGAGTGCAAAGAATATCATTAGTTCAGTCCTGAATTAGCGTAAGCACCAGAATACTAAGAACCTCCTCATCCCCACTCAGCACAAAAGGGAAAGGAAGTACGTTGCTGTGCCCTTGTCCTTTTATATTGCTATGATGCGAAGCTATGACAGGAAAGGTAATTTGTAAACATCCAAGCCACATTACCACCATTCCTTTGCTGTATTTAAATGTGTCTGAAAGCAAAATGATAGGATGATAATATATCAGCAGAAGTGGGGAGATTGGGTAATAGGCTGCATCATGAGTTCCCACTATTGGGAAAACAGACTGCACACAACTTCACAAAGCCACCGCACTGCAGAGAAAATCCCAGCCCTGGTCTGGTCTTAAATAAACCACATCAGAGTAGGGGATGACAAGACTCAGTTGTCAAAACTGTCTGACATCATGTGATTGCACAGATCCAGAGCTGATTCCAACCCGGTGGAAGCCGCTGTGTGTTGTACCCCATGAAAGTGAATAGCAGAAGCCGATGTTGATGGGCTGAAGAGGGATATAAGGGGAAGGGCTTAGCAAGAATTTTCAGCAAGTGGTTAAATATCACCAAGGGTTGTTGCAAGACATGATGACATGGAAGAAGATCTGGTGCATGGATTTAGAAATGTAGAGCAGGGCAGAAGGCTGGATAAATTAGGATGGATGGATGTGCATAACAATATATTTGAGAAGATAAAGGCTATTAGCACAAGCGTGCAACATACAACAGGGGCTATAATGGGCTGTATCAGTTTTTGTTTGTAAAGAGCAACTTGGATGATCTCCCACCACTTTGTATAGTGCGGCACAGTAATGTTCAAGCCATGGAAGAATAAAATAATAACCTGACAAAAATTGACAAGACAAAATAAGGGGGAAAAACCTTATTTCATTCATTCATTCATTCATTCATTCATTCATTCATTCATTCATTCATTCATTATATTTATATGGCTCCCCATCTCACAAACAAGTGACTCCAGGTAGTGTACAACAAAGCTAAAAACAGTATATTCAAACAAGTATTAATGTTATTATTATTAAAAACTTAAAATTATAAAAGGCACAAAATTAAAAAAAAAATTGGGCAAAGAGCAGGTGTTAATTACACTGGAGCCATCTCAATATTTTACCAGTCCTCTGGGGTCCCCAGGCCTGATGATACAATCAGGTCTTGAGGGACTTCCAGAAAGTTAAAAGGGATGAAGCCAGCCTCACTTCAGGGGGAATTATGCTCCATAAAGTGGGAGCCACAGCAGAAAAGGCCCATTGCCTAAGACCCGCCAAGTGAAGGTCCCTAGCTGACGGAACCTGCAGCATGCCCTCTGTGCTGGATCTGGTGGGATAGGCAGATGTAATCAGGGAGAGGTGGTACTTCAAATAACCCAGTCCCATGCCATGTAGGGCTTTAAAGGTCAAAAACAGCACCTTGAATTGGACCTGGAAGCAAACTGGTAACCAATGCAGCTCACGGAGCAGAGGTGTAATGTGTGTTCTTCTAGAAATATGCATAATTGCCTGCCCCTCTGCATTCTGCACCAGCTAAAGCTTCCGGATACTCTTCAAGGGCAGCCTCATGTAGAGCACATTATGATAGTCCAACCAGAAGGTGATTAGGGCCTGAGTGACCATCAGTAGAGCCCCTCAATCTAGGAATGGGCACAACTGATGTGCAATATGAAGTTGAGCAAAGGCCTTCCTAGCCACAACTGCCACCTTCCCCTCAAGCAGGAGTTGTGAATCTAGGAGAACCCCCAGATTCCTCATGGGGTCTGTTTGGGGCAGTGCCACCCCATCCAGCACCAAAGATGATATAGTCCTAGAACTGGCAGACCTCAAAACCCAAAGCCACTCAGTCTTGCCAGGGTTCAGTTGAAGCCTGTTGTTTCCCAACCAGACCCTCACAGCCTCCAGGCACCTGGATAAGACACCACAGCATCGCTTAATTCATCAGGGCAGAGATGTATAAGGGTATCATCAGCGTGCTGATGATACCTCACCCCATGGCAACAGATGAACTCACCCAGCAGCCTCATGCAGATGTTGAATAGGAGCGGAGAGAGCACCAACCCCTGTGACACCTCTTGCAATAGGGGTTGAGGGCAGAATCTGTCCTCCCCATTCACCACCGACTGGAATCGACCCCGGAGAAAGGAGGTGAACCAGCACAGCACCATGCTGCCCACCCCCAATCCTTTGTGTCGATCTGGAAGATTACCATGGTCAGTGTCATGTAGGGCAAGGATGGATGCATAACCCCCATCCTGCCCATGCCAGAGATCATCCAAAAGTGTGACCAATGCTGTTTCATTCCCATACCCGGGTCTGAATCCTGACTGAAAAGGATCCAGATAATCCACTTCATCCAAGGTCCTCTGAAGCTGTTGCACAACCACCTTCTCAACCACTTTCCCCAGAAAGGGGAGGCTAGATACTGGATGAAAATTTTCTAGTATAGTGGGGTCCAGTGATGGCTTCTTGAGGAGGGGGGTGAACCAAGACCTCCTTAAGAGGTAATGGAACAACCCTCTCACTCAAAGAAGAATTTACCACCACTAGAACCTGCTCACATGACACCCCAGGCTTCATTAACCAGCCAGGAGGGGCATGGATCTAAAGAGCAGGTGGCTGAGCTCATCTACTTCATCAGGCCCAACAGGTTCAAACTGTTCCCAAATAACTGGGCAAGGCTGCTCCTCAGGCATCTTCTCTGGACCTGCAACAAGGCCAGCATCCAACTATTCAAGCAGCTTTGTCTGACAGATGCTGAACAGATTCTTCCACACACCCCTGCAAGGGGGTTCTCCAAGCCCTCTCTATCCAAGAGGGCAAGTGTTATCCAAAACAGGGCTGCAGGATGGCTATCCACAAATGCAATAAGGGCAGAGAAGTACTGATGCTTCGCTGCCCTTACTGCCACAAGGTAGACCTTAATAGCGGCTCTAACCCATGTCTGGTCAAGTTTGTCCCCTGTAGAACACCAGCAATGCTCTAGACTTCTCTTCTCTTGTTTCATCTCCCTTAACTCCTCCATGAATTGTGGGAAGGGCTGAGATCCACGAGAGGGGAGAAGTCACATAGGTGTGATCCAACCTAAAGCCTCAGCCTCCCTCTTATTCCAAACAGTGACCAAAGCTTCAGATGGACCTTGCAGCAGACCAGTAGGAGCAACTCCCAGCTCCCTCTGAAACCCATCTGGGTCCATCAGTCATCAGGAGTGGACCGATCTAATGGGTCCGGCCTCCCTGCAGTGGATGGCAGTGCCAGAGAATGCCAGGGTACTCAGGGTGTGATCTGACCATGACAAGGGGGGGACCAAAAGCTTCCCCAATTTCAAATCACATAGTCGCTACTCCAACAGGAACACCAGATCCTGTGTGAGACCACTGTCCTGTGTTGGGCTATGGATGACCTGGGATAGGCCCAAGGCCATCATGGTGGCCATGAACTCCTGAGCTGCCTTAGAACCCACTCCTGAAGAAGGCACATTGAAGTGTTCCAAGACCATAAGTCTGGGGAACTCCACTGCCAACCCAGAGATGATCAAGTTGCTCAGGTAGGGAGGTTGCTATGCAGCAGGGAGGCTGGTACAACAGTAACAATTCCAACTGATCCTTACTTAATAAACAGGGTCTCACATCCAGTGACCTGTGGTGCAGCACCCCTGAAGGCTGTAAGTGATTCCTCGATGACAATCGTCACACCTCCACCCCCGCCCCAGGGTTTCAGCTGGTGCCACACCCAAATCCCAGCTAGGCATGTTTTGGAAAGGGTCACTACCTCTTCCAGGCCCAGCCAGGTCTCGGTAATACATGCCAGGTCAGCCCTCTTATCAATGATTAAATTGCAGATGAGGGAGGCCTTATTGCAGACTGACCTGACCTTTAGAAGCAGCAGCCAAGAGCCAGGGGATCTGAAGGCCCGCTGACTGGGTATGAGGGCTGAGATCAAGAAGCTGGAATGCAAAACTGATATAAGACATCGGTCCCACATTCCCCAAGAACGGCCTGCTCCCCATCTCCCACCATATCTCCCCATGCCTGTCACCACCATAATCCTTTGGCCTATCCACATCCTCCCAAAGGCTGTACCATCCCCCAACCCAGGCCCCTCAATTCCCAAGGTCGGGGACCTCCCATAGCACACAATCTCATCCATCCCAGGGAGGGAGAGCCAGGCACCCCAAGGCACTTGAGCTTCATTGGCTCTCAGCACCATTCGGGTACCCAGTGCCCACCTCCCCCATTATACCCACAAACACAAAAACCCCTCCCTGCTGCTCTCACCCCCTGTTAGGGGTTCCTTCCCATGTACCCAACCCAACCAATCCCCATCTCTGGCTCTCACCTAGAGGAGGGAATCAGTACTCAGTGGGAAAACCCACAGTCCACAATCAAGCATCTAACCGGCAGATGGAAATAAGCCGAAGTGGTTGTCTTCTCCCTCTCTGGAACTAGCAGAGGGAAAGGCAAATGGATTCCATAGGGGGAGGGTTCATAGTAGTCTGCCACTCTACTGCCACCCCCTCCTGTCCAGCCACTGTCAACACCTCCAAGGTTCCAGAGTCCCAGTAAGCCTCTCAGATAAAAAGCTGCCAGAATGTAGCTCTCAACAATTACTGGAAGCAGCCAACAAGCTCACACAATCCAGAGGGGTACAGACACCGGCAGCAAAAAGGGTTGCAGATTCAGCAAGGGCTGTAGCCAGGGTTGTAATGAAGTCTGTCTTCTGGCCTGCTTCTCTGGTCAGTGCCAGGCTCACAGGCACAAGAAGTGCGACAAGCACAACAAGGTGTAACTTTGTAGCTGGTGCCAGTCTATGGGTGCAATAAACACCACAACCGCAGACAAACACGGCTGGTACGGCCAACAGCAGCAGCTTCTCTGGTTCCTCCAACTCCTCCAGCCTCCAGAATAACCAAGAAGGTCCAAATCTGGCATCACTCCAGGTAGGTGCCATGAAAAACATAGTAACTCAATTATCCAACTGAGGGGACAAACCATCCGAGGCTCCTATGCTCTCTAACCATATTATTGGAAACAATTTAAAATTATTGTGAAGTGATGAATTGTATTGTTACTAATGACAGCAGACATGGAATTAACCTGGTGACACCTGTGATATTCATACAGCTTTATGATCTTATAATGCCATTGGTTTTGCTGATGGTTAAAAGCTGCATAACTCAGGATTCAGGCTGGGATATGGGACTGCGATGGCATTGATCGTGCTCTTGGACGACCTCTGGTGGGAGCAGGATGGGGGCAGTGCTGTCATCCTTGCTCTTCTTGACCTCTTGGAGGCCTTTGATATCATTGATCATGGTATCCTTCTGGGCCAGCTTTGGGAGTTGGAGGTGGGCGGCACAGTGTTGTGCGGATTCTCCTCCTTCCTCCAGGGTCAGTTCTGGTTGGTGTTGGTAGGAGGGGAGAGATCCAGTCCACAGCCCCTACTGTGTGGGGTGCCACAGGGCTCGGTTCTCTCACCCCTCTTATTTAACATCTACATGAGGCTGCTGGGGGAGGTGATCTGACAGTTCAGGTGAGGTATCATCAGTATGCTGATGATACCCAGCTTTATATCTCCTCCCCAGGATGTCTAAGTGATGCCATGAATGTCCTATCTCAGTGCCTGGAGGCTGTAGGGGCCTGGATGGGGTGCAATGGGCTCCGGCTCAACCCAAGCAAGACTGAGTGGCTTTGGGTGTTTGGGCCTCCCAGTACCGAGGTTTTTCCATCTTTGGTTCTGGATGGGGTGGCACTGCCCCAGATGGATCCGGTGTGCAATCTGGGAGTTGTCTTGGACTCATGGCTCCTTCGGGTTGTGCACCAGTTGTGTCCATTCCTGGACTGGGAGGCTCTACTCACTGTCACTCATGCCCTCACGACCTCCCATTTGGACTACTGCAACGTGCTCTACATGGGGCTGCCCTTGAAGAGCGTTCGGAAGCTTCAGCTGGTGCAGAATGCAGCTGCCTGGGCTGTAAATAGTGTCAGTTACTTGGCACATGTAACACCACTGCTTTGGGAGCTGCACTGGTTGCTGGTGTGTTTCTGGGTGCAATTCAAGGTGCTGATTGTCACCTTTAAAGCCCTTCATGGCTTGGGACCGGGTTACCTTAGGGACTATCTTTTCCCAGTTGTTTCTACCCATCCAATCCGGTCCAGCAGGGTGGGCATGCTCCGGGTCTCATCAGCCAAGGAATGTCAGCTGGCAGGGACCAGGAGATGTGTCTTTTCCGCTGTGGTACCTGCCCTCTGGAACATCCTCCCTCCTGAGATTAGGATGGCCCCAACCCTTCTGGCTTTTTGGAAGGCTTTGAAGACCTGGCTTTATGTCTGGGCCTGGGGCCCCAAGTGTGTGAAGGGCCCCATTTCATGGTTGTGCTGATACTGATGGTTTTTTAAAGATCTCTTGGC